TTGAGAAATAACTCTAGCATACCTTAATCAATCACTTATTTCATGCTAATTTAATAGATTTTCAGCACCGTCAATGTGTCAATGTTGGCATCCTATCGAAGATACCACGGATTTAGAATCTAATTCCGTGAAGATACATATCACTTCTTTTTTACTCGTAATAATTATGCGGATCAGAGAATTAAACTCTACCGCGAATTAAATGGTTTCATTCCACTTAACTTGTAGCTTCTACTATGCGGTAATAGTGAATTGTCATACCAAGAAAACATCATAATAGCCAATCAGACGCAGCAATTTATTCTAGATACTAACAGATTTTGAGTATATTTTCTTGCACTCCTTCATGTTTACCAACTAATCCGAATCTAGCTCTCTCTCCTTCTCTCTCCCTCTCTCTCCCCTCTCTCTCCCCTCTCTCTGTCTCTCTTCATCATCTCTCTGAGTTTGTCTCTCTCTTAATTAAAGCCAATGTATATGCCAATATATGGTATATGCCATCTTGATAATTTGTAGTAATATGGCTTAATATAAGTTGTAAAACTTGTGCCCAACTCCCATTGTATATAAATTACAACAACATATGTTTAAAACAAAGGTGTGAAATTTGCGAACAGGTAAATAACATGTATCTAATGCTGACAGCAGGAGGCCCAGGGATGTCAGCAGGTTGGCTAGGGGGTAGTGTTCAGTTCAGTTCAGTTTCTTTATTTCCGAGAGCCATCCTACTCATAGGTTAAATATCAAATAATTACATCTGTCATCATGGTGTTGTTAGTATGTAGCTAAGGTAAATAATAGAAACCAAATGCGTTAAATAATTGTAAACACTCGCTCCTAAACAAAGTACCTGCTCGACAGACCCCGCCCCAAACTGGCACGAATGCTCCGCACTGAACCACGGATTCTCGTGAAATTATAGTTCTTGAAAAATAGTAAATATTTTGATATGAGATATTATGATCCTGACCTCCATATTTGCAAATGCTGTAGAAAACATATAAAAATGCACCTTTTGTTACGCAGCATAATACATATTAGATGATAAAACAGTACCTATATGCAACAAGATCATGATATCTTTATAGAAAATCGTTTGATTAAATGAGGCACAGTGTGACTGTCGTTTTGGTATGATTTCCGTTATTTTGGTAATGTGATATTTGAACATATCTTTTTAGTAAGGACTGTCTTAAAATATGTAAAAACTGACATCTTCAAATAATGTTTATGCGACTTTGCTGTCGGTGGGCACTCCGGACTATACCGATAGGGGTACCGTATGGATGCGCATAATGAGCAACTTAATAATTTCAAATTTAAATATAAATAAAAAAATACTGATACCAAAAATGATGGGTTAACTATCAACCGGTACGTATATCCTAACAAAAGTCAGTAATCCAACAGTTCCAGAGTTAGACCTGGCATGTTAAGCTGTTGGAAAGTGGAAAGGAATGGCACCATTGTGGAGAGTGGAGGGTGTACAATCCCCTCCACGTTATGAATACGCACTGGAGTTTTAAGCGTGGAGACCTTGTGGCGTTTGGTGACTCTAAACGACCTCAACGTTCACCCACGCTGTCCATTGGCGGAGTAGCGGTGTAGTGTGGAGTCGCGTTCCACCGTGGAGTGCTGGTGGGGGACTGAACGTGGAGTCACGGTGGCGGGCAAAAAAAACCCACTACCGCGAAACATTGGGATCGTTTGAAATAATACATAAGTGCGGGTGATTTAACTCCAATCGAACATTGTCCATGCTCAGTGACAGTGCGGGTGATTTAACTCCAATCGAACACACTGACAGTGTGAGTGATTTAACTCCAACCAAACACATTATCCTTGCTCAGTGACAGTGTGAGTGATTTAACTCCAACCAAACACAATATCCATGCTCAGTGACTGTGTGAGTGATTTAACTCCAACCAGGGACGTATACTGTCCCTGCTCCAACCAAACACGTTATCCGTATATTTTCGTATATCTATAAGCATATTAAGTTTTCATTGGTTTGCTGTTGATGATGTATGTTATTTGTGAACTGATTTTTAATACTTTCTTCGAGTAATGGGACTGTTTTCCTGTTCAACTGTTGTTGAGAAAGTCCATATGAGGCCATATCACATGGGATACTAAATGAACTATACTACAGATTAAGCTGCATGGGAGTATACATGTGTGGGCCCGTAACACCTCGCAGGTAGGGATACCCCCGCCCTTATGTGATCCAGACCCACAAATGTATCTTCCGCGTTTATAGTTAGTCTGTTACAATAAATGTCTTTATTGCATGTATTTACAAATACAACGATACATTGATGTCTATACATAGTCATGTATCAGTATTACGTACCACGTATAAATACAATTTATTATAATTTACTTGGCTTGTGCAAATCAATCTGTATATTGAAACTTTTTAGGTTTACTCTAAAATATTATATTATTTTACACTTTATAAACACATTCCTATATATAGAGTGTAAACTATTATATTATTTTACACTTTATAAACACATCCCTATATATAGAGTGTAAACTATTATATTATTTTACACTTTATAAACACATCCCTATATATAAAGTGTAAAATATTATATTATTTTACACTTTATAAACACATCCCTATATATAAAATGTATATTTATGTAATGCATATTATGTTGTACCAAATACTTTGTATATATTTTCCACATTACTCTGTAATCTTCATCTTTGGAGGCAATAAAGAGAATAATTATATTTCTACTATATGAGTTGTAAATCTTGCTACACAAGGCCTTAATCTGAATGATTTTCCATGAGTTTTATTGTGACAAGTGTAAATAACATTTTTTTTTTATTTTTTTTTTTATACATACCAGGATTCAAGTTGTCATTTTACAAATACATATACAAATCGTGATGAAACTGACATGTTTGGAAGGGGTTAAGTAATGTTGTTGGCAAACCCTTCATATAAATGAACAAAAAATTGAAAAAAATCATTAAAAATTGCCATATAAAGTTGATCTGGACAAATTTACTTTTTTTCCTCTCACTTGTAACAATGTTAAAGAGTACCAAATAATTTAAAAAAATTATTTAAATTATATCATGGAGTGTTAGATGATACAGCGTTACGTCAGGGTTCAGGGCGTTCAGGGGTCATGATATCTTTCGTGTTTACTTACACTACACATGTGTTTTGCGATACCGGTAATTTTGAGAGGGTCACGCTGAAATAGAAGGGCACCAGCACATGAAACCTACTGTTGCGTCGTTGTCATGTCTCGTAGAGTGACGGGATGGAAAATGTGATTTGGTGACGTGAAGGGATCTTATCAGAATCTGAAATTTACACTCATTTGACCTTTGAAGGTCGGGGTAACTATGCTGTGCACTGCACACCTTCTGTGGGTGATTGGGGAATATTTTCAGTTTCATAAGGCGTGTAAAAACTAAGACCCGGACAAGATGTTTCTATAAAGGAACCAAAGAACCGGAACCAGGAGAAGTTCAGTACTTATACGAGAATCCTTCATGTAACAAACACTTAACTTGAGAGAAGAAAACATTCATGCTACCAGGATTGGCCCAAATGTCAAGACCCAACCCTAGAGACTACCTCCATAGATCATATAAGAACATCTGAAAGCGTGTCTGACAGTCATCAGTACCTGAATGAATGCCAACATGCTAAAGTTTAATCTGGAAAAGGCGGAACTTATCTTCTTTTCCCCAAAGTGTCAGCAGATAATGGCTCTCCAGCTCAATGTCGGTGCCAGAACTATTGAGACTGTCCCAGCTGTTATAAACCTAGGGGTATACTTCGATAGTACATTGAACATGGCCGAGAAACAGATGAACGCTATTGCCAAATCCTGTTACTACCAGATCAGGAACATCGGCGGTATCCGGCAGTTTATAACTGCAGATGTTTGCAAGATTTTGGTACATTCACTTGTTACCTCTGGGTTGGATAATGGTAAAGCCCTGCTCTGTGGTATATCTGACAAACTAACTATTCGTCTGCAGAGGGTCCAGAACATTGCAGCACGTCTGGTTAACCGTACTCGAAAGAGAGAGCACATCACACATATGTTATATACATTGCACTAGTTACCTGTACGGTACAGGAAACAGTACAAAATTTTGATATACGCACACAAGGCAATGAATGGAACAGCTACCCAGTGCCAACAGGACCTTAATTGCTACCCTGTATCAGCCGTCACGATCACTGCGGTCGGAGACAGAATCATTGTTGTGTGTTCCATAATCTCGTACTTTGATCTATGGAAACCGGTGCTTCGGGAGGGTTTCGGCCATGTCGTGGAATAGCTTACCATCTACTTATAGAGAGTCAAAGACACTGGCCAAATTTAAGAAAGATATAAAGACCCACTCTTCACGTCCGCATTTTAGGCTCTTTGCACAGTCGTCATGTGCACACCACTCTTTGCATATTCATTCATATGCGTATTGAGATAATAATATATTTTTTTTATGGATAATGGTGATTTGTATGCCTTTTTTGTTTATCAGTTAGAATTTATACTATTATCCATATGTTGTAAAGCGCTTTAGAGTTATTTTATAAATTAATATAGGGCTCTACATAAATGTTGTATATTATTTATCATTAATATCATAACATTAACACGGAAACAGTTGACATTCCATGTTATAACCATATACAAAATTGCTGGACATGAAGAATAAAATTGTGCTCTTGGTGTCTTACCCACCAAAACTGGTTTAGTCCTTCTTGATCTTCTTCCATGCTATATATGTTGTGTTGCAAGCTAACCAGTCTTTTTACAAGTGAGTGCCGATTGCAAGTGTGAACCCTATAGGACGTAATTAACGTGTGCGTTTATCTTGGTGAAGAGTAGTGTCCCGTCAGCATAAGTGTATTCGAAATATTCCTCAACCAGTTTCCGATTTTAACAGTAACTCTCGGGTCCTTATCCGGATATTTTTATATGCACGGGTTTATTTTTATATTCGCCCTTTATTCACTGCGGAACGCTACACTCACGATCATACATCCGGTTTCTGATGGCAGTATCCTTCAACATGCTTTCGCAAGGATAAGGTACGCGTTTTGTGTTAAATCCTACGTATTCCACAGAAAACTGATATTGATTCATCATGTTTTACACTCTGAATTTACTTTGTGATTTCCCATTCATACAATTTTGTGTTCAGGGCTTGAATGTGAAATTTAGACATCGCAAATTGCAAATGTTCATGTTCACCGTTTAGATGATATTGCGTAAGCCGGCCGTTCAGTATGTCTATACGTGTTAAATCGTAAAGGACCTGAATGTGTGTATTGGCATTAAATGTGACGGTAGAAAAATTATGCCGAATAGTGGTACAGGGAGGAGGGGGGGGGAGTCTCTGTCAGAGTTCTATCTGTCAGAATGACTTAGTTTAAATTCAGGACCAGAGAAAACTTGGACTAGCGATGGTGGTGGTGGTGGATGGGTTGAATTTCGTTTTTCTGCTAATATTTTAGACGATAATTTTATAAACATAGCATTAGGTACATTGGTGATCTATATAAGACTTCTGGACGCAGTCTGATTCAGTCCTCTGTATCCACATCTTCTCTTGTTTCTACTTCTACATGATAGTCATACTCAGTACTGACCAACTTCCAACAATTTGAAGATTAATGTCGGAGTAGGATCTGTGTTTTCACAGATGTAATTAAGTAGATGTTTGTTAAATGATGTTAAAGGGTAAATTTGAATAAGTTAGTTTGGGAATGGTTTGTGGGAGAATGTTAACTTTAATTTCCTTGTTTGTGTTGAGGAAACAGAGCTGGATTACCTGACTGTTTATTCAGCCAGTCTCAGATTTTATGCTTAGCCAGTGAAACAGCACAACAACAGTGGATAAAGTTTATTCAATTTGCCAACAGCTTTCACGTCTTACTTTAGGAGGTTCAGTGTCTGAGGATAAACCAGTTTAGTCTAGCGTGGCAATTCAATTATTTACCACCCTGTAGTACAAGTATGTGTTCATAGGTAAGGTTCAGCTTTTACCTTATTTTTTTTCTATTAACTGAAATTAAAGAAGGATTTGATAAAGCCTATATCAGGGTAGTTCATGTTATATGATTATTTGTACCCCTGAAACATGTCCTATCCTATCAATTTCCTCTATTCCTGGAGTGTTGAACTTTCCAGGTTATGTGCCACTGGCCCCAACACTTTACTTTTGACAGATATATAGATAGTGTGTGGAGGAACTGTTCGTCACAATGTCAAAAGTCTGGTGTAGCCCCAGGGCCAGAAGAAACTCTGTCTACTCTTTGTATAACTTTCCTCTAGAATATATACAATGCATATGTTTGGGAATTGCAGCGCATCTTTTTACATAAGTATCAGATTAAGAAATACATTCTAAGCATAATTGTAAACCAGTCAAAATGACCTTAAAAGATAAAAGTGTAAACATCTGCCTATGAATAGCTATATACAAAATATCGAAGTGAAATAAATGTTCATTGTTTGATTTGTTCCTGTAGACCCGAAAGTTTGGACAGAAATCTGAAGAAGTTTAAAAAGAGGAGAGCACATTACTACACGAGATACTTTCAAGGTCATTGAAGCTTACAGAGGATAATGGTGGTAAGAAATCAAAGATTCAAAGGAGGATACACATAACATTATGTAGCTAATGGCATTTTTCTCAAATTCTACCTGTGGGCTCGCTGGTAGTCTCAGTATGGAATTTACACCAATGACTTATATACATTAACAAATTGGAAAGCATAAGAGTATTTTCCATATTCTTATTGCAAGGAAAGAAAGCATCCTTTAAGTTTTTAGAAACGTGGTCCAGTATCGTGTGAGTCTAACTCAAATATCTGTCTTTGTAGATTAATACAGTGTGTCCTACTGTGTGCTAGCTTAAATTAATGTTCTATCAACTTAGTTCAAAAAATTGTCTTTGACCTGCAGTCAAGGTCACAAGGGTCAAATTTTATGTCTTTAAATCTTCAACCTAGTTTTACTGATGAGCCATAGGGTCTGGAATAATAAAATGTGGCATGCAACTTGCTGTGTGAACGGCTAACAAGTTCTTCACATAGAAAACAAGTACTTCAAACCAAACCCTGAGGCAAGATCAGTGCATGTGTACTGGTATTTGGTCTGCAGCACGCTGGGATGAATAGCTCTCTAGATTGATCCTATAATGAGCCCCCACATTTCTACCATCTCCTGTTGACGTATCTAAGTGAGTGGTACAGACCCTATGAGCCTGTTGTTTTGATCATACATCATGACCATGAAGGTACCTGCCTTTTCTACAAAGTTCAATATGGGAGGTTTCTTTGATTTGAAGTTGAACACAACTTGCTACACTGATTTATAATCATTGAATAGTTTGTGTGTTATTATGAATATTCAATTTTTGGTCCTCAGCTAAAAAACATCATCCAGGTTGCCCTAGCAGGTGCCCAAGTAGTGGGCAAAGCGTTTGGCAGAGCTCTCCAATCAGAGATTCGAGCTAGTCAGCAGGCTGCCCAGAGACATGGGGGTGGCAAGGAAGGCCGCAGAAAGGCTGCCGCAGACACGTCTACAGGAATGAGCTTACAGGTATATAGATCACTGTAAATTGGCCACAAGGTTTAGAGATTTTGACAAGGGATCACTAAACCCACCAACCCCAAAATGTACTGATATTAAAAGGACCAACTTTCTGCACCTGGGTCACCTTGTTTATGCAAAACTTGTTTACAGGTTACTGACTAACTTAAGGTAAAAACATTGTTAATCCATAGAATAAAAAACCACTTGTATCTCTTGTAAAGCTAACAGTGCAAGTTACTTAGACATTGAAGGGCTGTAGAATTCAATATAATAGTACTCTTTAGACATTTCTTGACAAATCTGAATCCAGCTATTTTGTTTTGATTGCTTTGGTATCTCCAAATAGAGGGCGCAAAAGAAAATCATCAATCAAGCAGGGTGTTCCTCCAATGAGATAGTAGTGGGCATTTTATTGTCATTCCCCAATCTGCAGAGACATTCTGTATAAGGAAATGATTCACAACAGTATAGGATTTTTTTTATTTCATGTTGTAGAACATTCAACAAAATAATATAAAAGGTAGACTAGATTCTGCATCATCATCTCATGTTTAAAATGATCCAGTTGTTGGTGACAACACAATTAAAAGTTATACAAGAAAATGTTGCTGACCAATATCCAGATTTGAACCTATCAAGGGAGATAACTGAATTAAAAAATCACAGGTACAATATAGCATACAGCTCAACATATAAGCTGCTAAAATGAAATAAAAATTACACACACTAAACTTCCAATGTTTAAAAATTTCTTTCATGTGAAAAAATTGTAATTTGTAAGTTTTATTCCCCGATTTTTGACAGGAAGCCACACAGATACTCAATGTATCCGAAACAGACGGTCATGAGGAAATACAGAAAAGCTACGATCATTTATTCAAAGTTAATGACAAGTCTGTCGGAGGATCATTTTACATACAGTCTAAGGTAAGGCACTCTCATTCTGACGAGATACCTTTGGGTCGTGTACATGTTTTATTGTTGTCCTTGAAAGAAATGTACCAAAGAATGAAAACGTTTAACAAAACTAAACCTAGTGAAATCAAACAGAGATTAGAGCTTATTAGTAGACATGTGGAAAAGCTGTTTTTGAAAAACAAATGGTCCATAGATGTGCTGTTGTATTCTTTGAAATACTAACTTTTCCAGGAGGAATTGAAATTTATTCAGATTAGATGGAGAATTCTTCTAGCTTCCAAATATAATGACCTGTTAACAAGTTGGCTTTTGTGATTGTTAACTTCTCCATGCACTCAAAAAGTTGACGTTTCCCGTCGTCTCAGAAATTACCCGTAATAGAAAAACAACAAAAAAAGTGTTAGAAAATTTCAGCTTATCATGATTCACACTAGTATCTTACACTAAATAAAGAGTTATATCTTGGCACATATAGGAAAATATTGACTCAATCGTATGCACATATATGATGTTATAACATTTTCTCAGTTTCATCTGTAGGTAATGTACTTATTAGAAGATTTGAAATTGCTTTTAAGCGATCTCAAAATGAACATTAACTCATTCACCCCTGAAGACAGATTTTAACTCTTCTAATTCAAAGGTTGGAATATTTAATTATGAAATTTAGGGGGTGGATAAGTTAAATTTGATGACATTTGGAGATCTTGAAATTGAAGACAAACTCATATCATAAAGACTTCTGCAAAAATCAGAATCTTATAAGCATTTGGCTTGAACAACTGGCATGTTTATTAACAAACTACAGATATCCAGTGATTTTTGTTCACTTTCTTATATGTCTTAAATGACATAATAAAAATGTGGTTACAAGTCATACATACTGTCAAAATAGAAATCAGGTATTTCTTGAAAACCTCGCTGATCTTGTAATCGTTTATCCCACACCAGTGTTGTCAGTGCCATCTATAATACACTGTAACATACGGAGGTTTCAATGTATTTTACTGGTTGTAACCTCTGTAACCAGTATAATTTTGGTTGTAACCTTTAACCAGTATAATTTTGGTTGTAACCTTTAACCAGTATAATTTTGGTTATAACCTCTGTAACCAGTATAATTTTGGTTGTAACCTCTGTAACCAGTATAAGTTTGGTTGTAACCTCTGTAACCAGTATAATTTTGGTTGTAAACTCTGTAACCAGTATAATTTTGGTTGTAACCTCTGTAACTAGTACAATTTTGATTGTAACCTCTGTAACCAGTATAATTTTGGTTGTAAACTCTGTAACCAGTAGAATTTTGGTTGTAAACTCTGTAGCCAGTATAATTTTGGTTGTAACCTCTGTAACCAGTATAATTTTTGTTTTAACCTCTGTAACCAGTATAATTTTGGTTGTTACCTTTAACCAGTATAATTTTGGTTGTAACCTTTAACCAGTACACTTTTGGTTGTAACCTCTGTAACCAGTATAATTTTGGTTGTAACCTCTGTAACCAGTATAATTTTGGTTGTAACCTTTAACCAGTATAATTTTGGTTGTAACCTTTAACCAGTACAATTTTGGTTGTAACCTCTGTAACCAGTATAATTTTGGTTATAACCTCTGTAACCAGTATAATTTTGGTTGTATACTCTGTAACCAGTATAAATTTGGTTGTAACCTCTGTAATCAGTATAATTTTGGTTGTAACCTCTGTAGCCAGTATAATTTTGGCTGTACCCTCTGTAACCAGTATAATTTTGGTTGTAAACTCTGTAGCCAGTATAATTTTGGTTGTACCCTCTGTAACCAGTATAATTTTGGCTGTAAACTCTGTAACCAGTATAAATTTGGTTGTAACCTCTGTAACCAGTATAATTTTGGTTGTAACCTCTGTAACCAGTATAATTTTGGCTGTAAACTCTGTAACCAGTATGATTTTGGTTGTACCCTCTGTAACCAGTATAATTTTGTCTGTACACTCTGTAACCAGTATAATTTTGGTTGTAACCTCTGTAACCAGTATGATTTTGGTTGTAACCTCTGTAACCAGTATACTTTTGGTTGTAACCTTTAACCAGTATAATTTTGGTTGTAACCTTTAACCAGTATAATTTTGGTTGTAACCTCTGTAACCAGTATAATTTTGGTTGTAACCTCTGTAACCAGTATAATTTTGGTTGTAACCTCTGTAACCAGTATACTTTTGGTTGTAACCTCTGTAACCAGTATAATTTTGGTTGTAAACTCTGTAACCAGTATAATTTTGGTTGTAACCTCTGTAACCAGTATAATTTTGGTTGTAAACTTGAACCAGTATAATTTTGGTTGTAACCTCTGTAACCAGTATAATTTGATGTTGTGATTTCTTCCTGTTCAGGTTGTGCGTGCGAAGGAAAGGTTAGATGTAGAACTCAGAAAAGAAGGCCAATCACCGCCGCCGCCACCACAATCAGAGGAGAAATCTTGATCCAGGAGAATCTAGGGCGTGTGAGAGGGAGTGTTAATTTGTGTGTTTGAGAAAATAATTGGGGTGAATGTGCGACAGATTTTATATATGTTTAGTGGATGTTGTACGAATGTTTATCTGATTCAACAGTCATCTAACAAACTGAATAGTTACACCTTGGTATGCCACAAGTCGTCTAATGAGACAGAGGAATTACAAAATAATTCTTCAGTAGAATAAATTTCATATGAAATGAATATCAAATCCACAAGTGTATTGTAAAGTTCTAGGTTTTATCTAGGACCGTCATAATGAAATTGTCTGCAGGAAAATACATTTTCTATAAAATATCACAAGAGCTGGAACTTCTATTATGCAGTAATTGGTCACTTTTCTGTTGTTGTGTTCTTCTGTGATTTGCATTAGTTGTTTTAAGTTAAATTACATGTATACATGTATATGTAATTCACAAAAAAATATTATTGTATAAAAAGAATATTTGGTATATTTGCTTTCAGTCTTGATTCAAATGAAATCCTCCACCCTGTTCCCTACGATACACTACAGTGTAGGATCTGACTTGGGGTCAGGTGAACATAACTCTGACAAGAAGGTGTGTCTGTAACTAGAACTTCATTAGAAAGCCCCATTTAATTGAGGGGCTCCATGACCTAACCACACTGCTGTCAGTATTATTGTTTTGGTTGGTGATTTAAAGTCATGGATTTTGACCTGAAGTTAAAGAGAACTTCTTTCAATATTCTCAAACTGCGTTAGAGGGCTTGAGAACAATAAAAATAAAGCAGCCAATATTTATAAACACCTGTACACACAGTATAAGATATATTGATGTGTGTGGTGTTTTGTGAAGTAAGATAAGGGAGATGTTTGATTTCTACTGTACATGTGCACAAATAATGAGTGAATTTCTGAATTAACATAGTCATTATGTAGCTGAAACTGATGTCTGTTTAATAAAAACAAAAAATATTACTCAAGTCAGCTGTAACAAAGGGATACCATTTGTTTTGTGGAATGCAGGGAAAAAAATATTGGTATGTACAGGGTCACAGTGCCATCCTGTCTCTTGTCATACTTTTATTTCTAGAATAGCCATCAGATAATTAATTGAAAATACATAATTATTTCCTTTTCCATTGCGATTTCATAAATACACCAGTACTTTTCTGTCATTACATATACAACTTTCGAAGAATTTACACTCATTTTATAGTCACCTACTTCTCGCTGCCCGTACAAAAGTATATTACCTAGGGTATATAGTCACCTACTTCTCGCTGCCCGTACAAAAGTATATTACCTAGGGTATATAGTCACCTACTTCTCGCTGCCCGTACAAAAGTATATTACCTAGGGTATATAGTCACCTACTTCTCGCTGCCCGTACAAAAGTATATTACCTAGGGTATATAGTCACCTACTTCTCGCTGCCCGTACAAAAGTATATTACCTAGGGTATATAGTCACCTACTTCTCGCTGCCCGTACAAAAGTATATTACCTAGGGTATATAGTCACCTACTTCTCGCTGCCCGTACAAAAGTATATTACCTAGGGTATATAGTCACCTACTTCTCGCTGCCCGTACAAAAGTATATTACCTAGGGTATATAGTCACCTACTTCTCGCTGCCCGTACAAAAGTATATTACCTAGGGTATATAGTCACCTACTTCTCGCTGCCCGTACAAAAGTATATTACCTAGGGTATATAGTCACCTACTTCTCGCTGCCCGTACAAAAGTATATTACCTAGGGTATATAGTCACCTACTTCTCGCTGCCCGTACAAAAGTATATTACCTAGGGTATATAGTCACCTACTTCTCGCTGCCCGTACAAAAGTATATTACCTAGGGTATATAGTCACCTACTTCTCGCTGCCCGTACAAAAGTATATTACCTAGGGTATATAGTCACCTACTTCTCGCTGCCCGTACAAAAGTATATTACCTAGGGTATATAGTCACCTACTTCTCGCTGCCCGTACAAAAGTATATTACCTAGGGTATATAGTCACCTACTTCTCGCTGCCCGTACAAAAGTATATTACCTAGGGTATATAGTCACCTACTTCTCGCTGCCCGTACAAAAGTATATTACCTAGGGTATATAGTCACCTACTTCTCGCTGCCCGTACAAAAGTATATTACCTAGGGTATATAGTCACCTACTTCTCGCTGCCCGTACAAAAGTATATTACCTAGGGTATATAGTCACCTACTTCTCGCTGCCCGTACAAAAGTATATTACCTAGGGTATATAGTCACCTACTTCTCGCTGCCCGTACAAAAGTATATTACCTAGGGTATATAGTCACCTACTTCTCGCTGCCCGTACAAAAGTATATTACCTAGGGTATATAGTCACCTACTTCTCGCTGCCCGTACAAAAGTATATTACCTAGGGTATATAGTCACCTACTTCTCGCTGCCCGTACAAAAGTATATTACCTAGGGTATATAGTCACCTACTTCTCGCTGCCCGTACAAAAGTATATTACCTAGGGTATATAGTCACCTACTTCTCGCTGCCCGTACAAAAGTATATTACCTAGGGTATATAGTCACCTACTTCTCGCTGCCCGTACAAAAGTATATTACCTAGGGTATATAGTCACCTACTTCTCGCTGCCCGTACAAAAGTATATTACCTAGGGTATATAGTCACCTACTTCTCGCTGCCCGTACAAAAGTATATTACCTAGGGTATATAGTCACCTACTTCTCGCTGCCCGTACAAAAGTATATTACCTAGGGTATATAGTCACCTACTTCTCGCTGCCCGTACAAAAGTATATTACCTAGGGTATATAGTCACCTACTTCTCGCTGCCCGTACAAAAGTATATTACCTAGGGTATATAGTCACCTACTTCTCGCTGCCCGTACAAAAGTATATTACCTAGGGTATATAGTCACCTACTTCTCGCTGCCCGTACAAAAGTATATTACCTAGGGTATATAGTCACCTACTTCTCGCTGCCCGTACAAAAGTATATTACCTAGGGTATATAGTCACCTACTTCTCGCTGCCCGTACAAAAGTATATTACCTAGGGTATATAGTCACCTACTTCTCGCTGCCCGTACAAAAGTATATTACCTAGGGTATATAGTCACCTACTTCTCGCTGCCCGTACAAAAGTATATTACCTAGGGTATATAGTCACCTACTTCTCGCTGCCCGTACAAAAGTATATTACCTAGGGTATATAGTCACCTACTTCTCGCTGCCCGTACAAAAGTATATTACCTAGGGTATATAGTCACCTACTTCTCGCTGCCCGTACAAAAGTATATTACCTAGGGTATATAGTCACCTACTTCTCGCTGCCCGTACAAAAGTATATTACCTAGGGTATATAGTCACCTACTTCTCGCTGCCCGTACAAAAGTATATTACCTAGGGTATATAGTCACCTACTTCTCGCTGCCCGTACAAAAGTATATTACCTAGGGTATATAGTCACCTACTTCTCGCTGCCCGTACAAAAGTATATTACCTAGGGTATATAGTCACCTACTTCTCGCTGCCCGTACAAAAGTATATTACCTAGGGTATATAGTCACCTACTTCTCGCTGCCCGTACAAAAGTATATTACCTAGGGTATATAGTCACCTACTTCTCGCTGCCCGTACAAAAGTATATTACCTAGGGTATATAGTCACCTACTTCTCGCTGCCCGTACAAAAGTATATTACCTAGGGTATATAGTCACCTACTTCTCGCTGCCCGTACAAAAGTATATTACCTAGGGTATATAGTCACCTACTTCTCGCTGCCCGTACAAAAGTATATTACCTAGGGTATATAGTCACCTACTTCTCGCTGCCCGTACAAAAGTATATTACCTAGGGTATATAGTCACCTACTTCTCGCTGCCCGTACAAAAGTATATTACCTAGGGTATATAGTCACCTACTTCTCGCTGCCCGTACAAAAGTATATTACCTAGGGTATATAGTCACCTACTTCTCGCTGCCCGTACAAAAGTATATTACCTAGGGTATATAGTCACCTACTTCTCGCTGCCCGTACAAAAGTATATTACCTAGGGTATATAGTCACCTACTTCTCGCTGCCCGTACAAAAGTATATTACCTAGGGTATATAGTCACCTACTTCTCGCTGCCCGTACAAAAGTATATTACCTAGGGTATATAGTCACCTACTTCTCGCTGCCCGTACAAAAGTATATTACCTAGGGTATATAGTCACCTACTTCTCGCTGCCCGTACAAAAGTATATTACGCTTGTTAGGATGAAGATGTTAATAGTTGCTTTTACTGACACACTATTTGATTAAATAGCCAATCTTTTGACAAGATGTTGATTAAATTAATATTTTCTCAACAGGTATATACAACTTGAAAATAAATGTTCTGTTTCGAAATCACGGACAAGTTCTCACTGTATTCATCATTGAAAGTTTTTTAGTGTTTGATGTGAAATTCAATGATTAAATGATCAAATGTTTGTTTTATATGTAAATAATGTCATGTATATGGAAAATAAAAAAGAAGATTTAAAGATTTCTTTTTAGTTTTTTAGTGATTATAAAATAACCAGACATAAAGTGTAGAAACAACACATTTTTTAACCTGCTATAGTATTTTTGCAGTGACTACAGGTCCAGGAGGTACTCCGACACACATATGTGAGGACAACATATTCAGTGATTGCAGAATAACATGCATACAGTAAAACCTTGTTATAATGCCACCATTTTCCTCAGTGACATTTTGGCATTGTAAAGAGATTTGTCGATTTATTGAGGGTGATATATAGAAAGATTGTTAGCAAAAATGGAAAAGGGTACTTTGATGGATGTTGGCTTACATTTGCACGCATGGTGCGTGGCAAACCAAACAAAGTGGCATTATATCGGGTTTTACTGTACTTTGTACATCCGAAACTTCCCGAATTTATCGTTCTGTACTTATACGTGGTACTGGAACGTTACACTTTAATGGGAAATTTCTTTAAGGTGAATGTCTCGCTTATTTTTGAAATTTGATACACTGTTGTATGTAGATGTGCAAAAGGGTTTTAGAAGTTTTTAAGGACCGTTGTTACTGTTGCCAAGGAATCTATCGAAGTCCGTGCTAAAACTAAAATAGAACATGGTTACGGTCAGGCACAAGGGCGTTAACGTTCTGACTGCTTCGTTTCATACAAAATCAATGAATAAGAAACTATTTCGTATTGCTAAGTGGACGTATTTGGTGGTGGCCTGAAATTGTTCTATCATACTTAACTGGCAGGTTTATTTTATTCTCGGTCAACATTAACGCACCCACCCTAACAGACTTGCTAGCGACACTTCCAGCAGATTATGCAATAATAGTGATCTTGCATCATATAAGCAATGTAATTCTCACAAGACCAGACAGTAATGGATGTAGTTGTTCATCAAGAGAAGGAAACCATCTGCAATTTCAAGTTAGCTATTGTTTTTAACATCATTGATATGAAATTCAGGGCAAAAGTGAGCTAATACCATTGCGCCGCATCTGCTGTCTGTCCCTTGTCCGTCAAAATGCCAAGTTCTTCTGAAGAACTAAAGGCCGTTAGATTCATACGTGGCTTGTAGCTTTCCTGAGATGGAGCCCGACAAAGTTTGCTATAAGTGACTACCTACTTTGAAGGTTACCAGGAAACGTAGACATCATGATGGGATGGAATAACATTGACTTTCTTTCAAGGTCAAATATGTTAAAATATTAAACAACTGTTTTCTGAATAATAGAAAATCTTGCGGTAATAATATTTGGCCAGTATATTTCTAACGACCGGTGTCTGGACTCTAAACCGATGAAAACAACTCGCTTAGCCAGAATGTGCTGTGTCAGTAAAGTCAGATATCAGAAAATGTCGAGAAATTTCGCCAAATAGCACTCTTATACCACAGGCATTCAGAGGGACGGGTAACATGTTTACCCATTCCACTACGTAGGTGATGTTAAAATGGTCTTTTTCACTCTTTACTTGTCAAAGGAAACAGATATTTTCGAAAGCTCGCGAAATACGTTTTCGATATTCTTGTGTTCAAAACAAACTAAGCATTTATTGCTTTTCATGAAATGAAACAAACAAATCCTCAACCAGCTGTTTTTATATGTTATCGCAATAACATTGGACTAACAACGCTTCATATTAACATAGACATATAACAAATATAAAACGTTAAACAATAGATACAAAAAAACACCTCAGAATGAAGACAGCAATTAGTTAAAAACGCTGATATTATCGAACAATACTCCACTATATAAAATATTCAAACGTGTGATGGTAGAGAATATTTCGAGTAAATAAAGGAACAAACGTTTTGAAGCACAAATAAAACTTACATATAAGCTCATGTCTCTAATGGATACAACACTGATGATGCGTTAAGTGGCTAAGGTAGTTTGGGCTGTCACACTCCCCATCAGAAACTGACATTTTACTCATTGTTGTCGTGATGGTAATTATTATAACAGAAATAAATATTCTATCAAAATAGTGAACCATTAAGTCATACTAAATACCAGAACATTTGATACACATCTGTTAAGAATTCATGGTATTATATTTGAACCGATATACGTCTGTTAAAGAGGATAGTTAAAGTTCGATAGTTCCATGTTAATTTCTAGAATAGTGATTGGATGCGGTCCTGGGTTTAGCATATTCCCATCTGTCTTTGTCTACAGGAAACAGTAACTAGGCCTTATTGTAATGCGATGTGTTTTGGTACACTCTTGTGGGGTTTCTAAAGTCAATCTGACGGGAATGGCTGACGTTAGTTTCGCTTTGCGTTGTCCTCTCCAAAATTGAGAACTCTGGGATAAACTGAAGTCCTTCATGGAGATATAGTGCATAGGGAGTCACGGAATACCATGCTTTTAGGATATTTGGCCAGTAGCATGCAGGGATGATAAAACATTAAACAACTGTATCTGAATAACAGAGAATAGTACGATAACAATAGTTGGCTAGTATCATTCAATGGCCGGTGTCTCGACTCTAAACTGCTAAAACAACTTACTAAGCCACACTGTTCCGTGTAAGTAAAGTCAGCTATCAGAAAATACCGAGGCATTTCGCCAAATAGCACTCTAATCCTACAGGCAGTCGGGGAGAGGGGTAATATGTTACCCATTCCACCCCTTTGTGGATATGCACTCTTTACTTGACGAAGGAAACAGACTTTTTCGAAAGCTTTCATATACGTGTTCAATAACTGTATGTGTTCAACAAAGCAAACTAAGCATGCATTGCTTGTCATAAAATGAAACAAACAAATCCTCAATCAGCTACATGTATTTTTATTCTTATATTTTGTCAATAAGAAAACACTTGGAACAACAACAACAACACTACTTTGATTAGTATATTTTCACACATTCACACATATATTTAGAAAAAATATAAGAAAAATAGATAAATGAATACAAAAATAAAACAAAAATGTTATCCAGAATCAAGACAGCAATACATGTTAAGATAGAAATGGGTTGCCGCTGATATTTTACAGAACTCCACTATATAAAACATTAAAATGAGTTATGTCAGAGAGGATTTAGAATTAAGGAACAAATGTTTTGCAGCACAAACACAACTGTTCCATATAAACTGTATGTATAACACAAAGATACAACGCTGATAATGCGTTAAGGGGCTATGTTACTGTAGTCGGGGCTGTCGCACTCTCCATCAGAAACATATACTCCTTGTTGTCATGATGGTGATGGTCATAATAGAAATAAATGTTCTAACAAAACTGAAAACCATTAATTATATAAGTCATACTTAATAACAGAACATTTGATACACATCTGTTAACAAACAAGCGTCTTAAAAAGTACATAATCATTGCATACATGGTGATATATACGAACTGATAAACGTCTGTTAAAGAGGATAGTTAAAGTTCGATAGTTCTATGTTAACTTCTAGAATAGTGATTGGATGCGGTCCTCGGTTTAGCATATTCCCATCTGTTGATGGGATCTGTATACAGGAGACAGTAATATTAGGACCTTATTGCAATGCGAAGTGTTTCGGCATGCTCTTGTGGCGTTTCTCAAGTCAATCTGAGTTTAATGGCACCCGCTCTGCGTTGTCTTCTGTACTAGAAATATTGCGACTCGAGGATAAACTGAAGACCTTTATCGAGAGATATTACATTGAAGGTCACGTATATTACGTTATTTCAATAAAAAATGAAAACATTCAATGACAAGGTATCTAGACGAAACATTATTGACAGAAGCACTTTCTGGACAAATTACATAAATGCAAATACTTTTTCAAACTACAATAAAATATTTGCAATACATGCCTTAGGATCCCTCGAGGTATGGTATAACTTCCCCCGAAGTTCTCCTTAATAGACGTAGTTTTCTTGTGTTGTATTGTTATATACATAGTGTACGTAATTGTACCTTTTTATATACAGACGGTCATGGTTCGGTTCCCGACATCTACAAGTGGAATTCCAGATTTATTATTTGTTTTCAGAATTGTTTCTCCCTAGAGAAGTCTCAAATCTGTGGGTTCTCTATCTCGATGGGCGTATTTAGCATTGGTGTAAATGTTTACGAGAGTACATTTATGACGGCCAAGTTGGCCAAACACTGGCAGACAGCGAATTACATCATCATGGACTGATTCACGTCTGCAACTATTTCAAACACGACGTTTATGTTGATTTAAGGGATTGTTACATATCTGTGATCCCATCGAAGTTTGTCAGAGTTACACTCAAATTACTAGATGCTATCTACAAACTATCTGGGTTTAATTCCCCCAATGTTCCTTATTGCTCATTCACTCCAAAAAATCGAAGGTCGTTGAGAAAGAATCTGTCTTATTTTTCGCATCACACGCACTCACTGTAAACTCGGCGCTACCGAAATCCATGTCTACCTCAAGGTCCGTATCCGGTTTCCAGCCAGCTTCCGGTGGACGGACAGTGATGCTTCCAATCTTTGTACATCCTTCATCAGTCACCATGATAGGATTGGGCTCAGTAGACGCGAAGATCTCTATGACAACGGGCGCGGTCAAACTGGTGATACCAAAACTCTGTTTGACGGTTTGCCCTATTCCGGCATTTTCACCAATTCCTATGAATTTTCCAAAGACATTTTTGCAATAAAACTTCCCATTGTTCTCCGATTTTTGACTCTCAGGGTGGATACCTGGTTTAAAAGTGGCCTTTGCTGCTATTCCATAAGTAAATTTACAAACCCGTGATGAGATGGATGTTGGGCAATGTCCATAGAGAACGGCGCCTTTCACAACAGCCAACCCCGCATCCTGTGGTACGATCACGCGCATCCCCGGAAATGCCTTTCGAAGAGATTGCACGATTATGGCAGATTCTGAGAATCCTCCCACCATAATGATGGCGTCAAGATGGCCGTTTATTTCCGGCCTTTTTAGAATGTCCTCCACGTGACCTTTGATACTTTCTGTACAGTCGGTAAAACACCCGCAGAATAAATCGACATCTATAAGCATTTTGTCTCTTTTGAATGTGATTTTTCCGTTGTGGATTGATTCCTTAATGGCATCATCTCGGGATTTGTCGGTCATATCTTCGTAAGTTGTCGGGAGCGCTATGGGAACTTTCATTACCACAGGTTTACGAGCAGAATCGACCACAGTTCTCTTCCGAAGTTCTAACTCTCTTTCAAAATCTAAAAGATCCGGTCGGTTATCTCGACAGAAGGCATCGAAACATGTTTCCGTGACAACGTTCTTGAGCAGGGCTTGAAAGGCTTGATCGACTCTCGTTCCTCCCCAAGCACCCCCACTGGCCTTGAACAGCTCTTTTAGTGTGTCATCCCCTGTCACCTGGTGTACTGTGACGTCAACGGTACCCCCTGCGAGGATAGACAGCATATTATAAGATAGATAACATAGAGGAACCACAAAACAATAAACTGAAATAGGAAAAACAACACTAACACACAAGGACAGAATCAGAACTCCAAATCGACACAAAAGACGCCAACAAGAACCTACGAGCCACCAACACAAAAGGGAAGACATCACGAACCCTTACTAAATACCGGAGGCCAAACAAGATGTTCCGGAATAGATTGATTCACAACGAGTGACACCCACCAATAAGTCTGCCGTTAAATCCAGGAGAATATGTGGGTCACCAATGCTCTGAGACTCAAGAGAGTAACAACGATTTCTCACCACGAATGAGGGTATCGGCATAATGCCCTGGTCCTGTATTCATGGAAACCGTTCTCGTGCTCAACCATTAATTCTGTGCTCAAACCATCTTTTTAGTTTCCTTTAAAACATGTAAAACGATCAAAGAGTCAAATGTAAACACTGAACACAGTTTTCAGGCTTAAGTCTATTCAATGTTTTTCTAAATCGTTTGCAAAGTAAGTGATGTATATATGTATAGCGACACTTTAGTGTTTCGTTAGTTAACTGATGTATATATGTATAGCGACACTTTAGTGTTTCGTTAGTTAACTGATGTATGTATGTATAGTGATACTTAAGTGTTTCGTTAGTTAACTGATGTATATATGTATACGGGTTGTTTTTGTTCCATTGTTGCTTTTGTGGCAAGATGAACATTCTCGAAATTACATTGAACACTTGGCCTTTTTTTCTTTTCTTTTTCCGAAACTGCGAAGCTGAATTCATGTTTTTCGAGCATTCAAAAGTCCTTTTTTTGTGTTCAACATGTATCTACGTATACAAGTTTGAAGCTTTAGATAAAACAGAAGTTTATTAATGTATGTAGTAGTCTATGTAATACATTGAGGATGAAGCAACGACAACCATCAAATAACTAAAACACCAGTTCATTAATTCGACACCATCATTGTAGGGCAGTACTATCAACGTGAGATAATGGTGGTTGTTATGAAAGATTCGATACTGTTTATGCAAACAGGTGACATTAACAGTTGAAAGTTTAATCTGTTGACACATGTACACTACAGAATAACGTCACAAACACCAACAATCTGGCACATTCTGAAAAAGTGTATTTTAGCGAGAGTAAGGTAGTCAATGGCTTCATTTAAGGATCCCTGTCAATGTGACTTTTTATATTAATAAATACCTCTGCTTGATTTCCCTTTGGATATTGGTGGTACGGGAATCCTTACGTAGAACACGTTTTTAATTTTTGTCTCGCCGCCACGAAGCAGCGGAAGTGAGACTCACGAAGCAGCGGAAGTGAGACTCACGAAGCAGCGGAAGTGAGACTCAGGAAGCAGCAGAAGTGAGACTCACGAAGCAGTCGGAAGTGAGACTCAGGTTTTGCTTTTTCGGCGGCGACGGCGGCAATGACGGCGTCAACATTAATTTTTTTCGTGTAAGTTAGTTTCTCTGAAAGGATAAGAGCTAGACCAACCAAACTTGGACCATAGATGTATCATCTTAGGTAGTACATCCCAACCCATGCATCAAATGCTTGATGCTGCCTACCTTTCACGGTCCATTGACTGTGTCAGCATCTCCAACAACTTTCAGTTTTTGCGTTTAAGTTAGTTTCTCTGAAGCTTTAAGTGCTACATCAACCAAACTTGACATGCGCATTGATTGTCAAAGCGGGGCACAGTCGAGACATATCAATCCGAATGGCATGTTTTCCATGGCCATGACTAACAAGGTTCTACCACCTACAGGAACGCCTTTATACCTACCTCCCAAATCTAAAACCATGTAGCTCATCCCTTCCTGGAACGGAATTATAGAAGTCTCCCCTGGGTTTCCGGTGTCCATCCGGTCTACAGGAATATGTTTACAGTAGAGTGACGCAGCTTCCGGTTCCAGAGCAAGGACAAGATTCCTCGATAATATTCCCGCCTATTGTGTCGAAAATAAGAAATCGAGTCTTATAAACACACTCAGTGATTTGGCGATATATATATATATATAGAATGGGCAAAAATTAAAATTAAAAAAAATATAAAGGGGTATACCCTAAAATCTCGGCTTTCTTTAAGAAGGAATCTCGGGATAACTGCGTGTATGTCTTATTGTTATGGAAGTTTTACTTTCAAAGAAAGCATCAATTTGTAAGGTCCACCATCTTGGAAAGAATATTCGTAGTGGTGGTCAAGTTTCAGGCTAGTTTGTAGTTGTAAGAATGTAAGATAAAGCAAAACGCTATTGACTCCAATACGGGGTACTGTCCTAACCGCCAGATTTGTCGTTAATGCGAATTGCGACCTCTTTAATAATGAAAATACCCAAAGCCATCGAGGAACCCTTTTCACTGCAATCATATATTCTGTTTTAATCTTTATTAAGGCACCAGTGATTACCACACTACACATTATTTTGAAAGGTTTGTGGAAGAGTTGAAGGTTTTTAGTTTTGTTTGTAAATAAGTTTGGTGTGCTAGTACGGTGCACCGATATGTGCAGGTGTTCAATTTGATGTAACAATTTTTCTTCAAAGAAAACAAACAACGATTTGCCAGCCATTTTTCTTTAAAACACTGTAAACACACAAAAAGTATTACGGGAGTACTTGAAATAGTAGATATTAGTTTCAAACTCATGTTCATGACATTCTGGACATCGCTGTTAGAGAAAACTTGGATCTGAATATATCTTCAATTAAAGGAAATAATGGTTTAATGTAGATATTTAAAAAAATATATATTTTTAATGTTACTGACATTTTGGACATTATTCACCCCGGTGTATCAGGTACAAATATGACATATTCATTGGCAGCTTTTTTTGAGAGGAAAAATTGCATCATGTTGAAGGCAGCTAACTCTCTTAATTTCGAAGCCGTCCCATTATCAAATCAGGCTTATTTTTAAAATTTCAGGGTTTGTATTGATGCGCTGTTAATTTTGGCGGAACTAGGTTTCATCACCAAGACTATATTGTAAACGTACGTACGGAAAACAACCTATATACGATACTTTCTTCATCTATGCTGATAATGTTAAATAGACAAAACATGACTACAGACTCTGAAACATTTAAGACTAATGTTTACTTAATTCAAAACAAGAACTGTCCTCGATATTGTAACTTCACAAGTGTATAGGAGGTATTGTTTAGCAGCACGTGTGAATGTTGTTGTTTTGATTTACTATATACAGACAGCAACACGTTTCAACCAACACCAAACGTCTTTCATCATTTCAATTTTTGTGAAAGTTGATTTTATATTATCGATAAACTAACCAATTGTATCATGGGGTATTAAATATAACTGTACTATGCGTAAAAAAGGTTCTATGGCTGGAGTGTTTTGTTAATGTTTTATGGCTGGAGTGTTCTGTAAATGTTCTATGGCTGGACTGTTCTGTAAACGTTCTATGGCTGGAGTGTTCTGTAAAGGTTCTATGACTGGAGTGTTCTGTAAATGTTCTATGGCTGGAGTGTTTTGTAAAGGTTCTATGACTGGAGTGTTTTGTAAAGGTTCTATGGCTGGAGTGTTCTGTAATTGTTCTATGGCTGGAGTGTTCTGTAAAGGTTTTATGGCTGGAGTGTTCTGTAATTGTTCTATGGCTGGAGTGTTCTGTTAATGGTTTATGACTGGAGTGTTTTGTTATTGTTCTATGACTGGAGTGTTCTGTAAAGGTTCTGTGACTGGAGGGTTCTGTAAATGTTTTATGGCTGGAGTGTTCTGTAATTGTTCTATGGCTGGAGTGTTCTGTTAACGTTCTATGTCTTCTGTAAAGGTTCTATGGCTGGAGTGTTCTGTTAAAGTTCTATGGCTGGGGGGTTTTGTAAAGGGTCTATGACTGGGGGGGTTTGTAAAGGGTCTATGACTGGGGGGGTTTGTAAAGGGTCTATGACTGGGGGGGTTTGTAAAGGGTCTATGACTGGGGGGGTTTGTAAAGGGTCTATGACTGGGGGGGTTTGTAAAGGGTCTATGGCTGGAGGGTTCTGTAAAGGGTCTGTGACTGGAGTGTTCTGTAAATGTTTTATGGCTGGAGGGTTCTGTAAAGGTTTTGTGTCTGGGGGGTTCTGTAAATGTTCTATGACTGGATATTTTGTTAATGTGCTATGACTGGAGTGTTTTGTTATTGTTCTATGACTGGAGTGTTCTGCAAAGGTTCTATGACTGGAGTGGTTTTTAAAGGTTCTATGACTGGAGTGGTTTTTAAAGGTTCTATGACTGGAGTGGTTTTTAAAGGTTCTATGACTGGAGTGTTTTTGTAAATGTTCTATGGCTGGGGTGCTTTGTTAAGGGTCTTTGGCTGGAGGGTTCTGTAAAGGGTCTGTGACTGGAGTGTTCTGTAAATGTTCTATGACTGGATATTTTGTTAATGTGCTATGACTGGAGTGTTTTGTTATTGTTCTATGACTGGAGTGTTCTGTAAAGGTTTTATGGCTGGAGTGTTCTGTAAACGTTCTATGACTGGAGTGTTCTGTAAAGGTTTTATGGCTGGAGTGTTCTGTAAAGGTTCTATGGCTGGGGGGTTTTGTAAAGGGTCTATGACTGGGGGGGTTTGTAAAGGGTCTATGACTGGGGGGGTTTGTAAAGGGTCTATGGCTGGAGGGTTCTGTTAAGGTTCTGTGACTGGAGTGTTCTGTAAATGTTCTATGACTGGATATTTTGTTAATGTGCTATGACTGGAGTGTTTTGTTATTGTTCTATGACTGGAGTGTTCTGTAAAGGTTTTATGGCTGGAGTGTTCTGTAATTGTTCTATGGCTGGAGTGTTCTGTAATTGTTCTATGGCTGGAGTGTTCTGTAAACGTTCTATGACTGGGGTGTTCTGTAAAGGATCTATGGCTGGAGTGTTCTGTCAATGTTCTATGGCTGGAGTGGTCTGTAAATGTTCTATGGCTGGGGGGGTTTGTAAAGGGTCTATGGCTGGAGGGTTCTGTTAAGGTTCTGTGACTGGAGTGTTCTGTAAATATTCTATGGCTGGAGTGTTCTGTCAATGTTCTATGGCTGGAGTGGTCTGTAAATGTTCTATGGCTGGGGGGTTCTGTAAAGGGTCTATGACTGGGGGGGTTTGTAAAGGGTCTATGACTGGGGGGGTTTGTAAAGGGTCTATGACTGGGGGGGTTTGTAAAGGGTCTATGGCTGGAGGGTTCTGTAAAGGTTTTGTGTCTGGGGGGTTCTGTAAATGTTCTATGGCGGGAGTGTTTTGTAAAGGTTCTATAACTGGAGTGTTTTGTAAAGGTTCTATAACTGGAGTGTTTTGTAAAGGTTCTATGGCTGGGGTGGTTTGTTAATTTTCTATGACTGGAGGGTTTTGTTAATGTTCTATGGTTGATGTGTTTTGTAAACGTTCTATGGCTGAATATTTTGTTAAGGTTCTAAGGCTGGACTGTTCTGTAAAGATTCTATGGCTGGAGTGTTTTGTAAAAGTTCTATGGCTGAATATTTTGTTAAGGTTCTAAGGCTGGACTGTTCTGTAAAGGTTCTCTGGCTGGAGTGTTTTGTTAATTTTCTATGACTGGAGTGGTTTGTTAATGTTCTATGGTTGATGTGTTTTGTAAACGTTCTATGGCTGAATATTTTGTTAGGGTTCTAAGGCTGGACTGTTCTGTAAATGTTCTATGGGTGGAGTGTTCTGTAATGTTCTGTAAATGTTCTATGGTTGGTGTGTTTTGTAAACGTTCTATGGGTGAATATTTTGTTATGGTTCTAAGGCTGGACTGTTCTGTAAAGGTTCTATGGCTGGAGTGTTTTGTTAATTTTCTATGACTGGAGTGTTTTGTTAATGTTCTATGGTTGGTGTGTTTTGTAAACGTTCTATGGCTGTATTATGTTGTGGTTCTATGGCTGGAGTGTTCTGTAAATGTTCTATCGCTGGAGTGTTTTGTTAAGGTTCTTTGGCTGGAGTGTTTTTTAAACGTTCTATGGCTGAATATTTTGTTATGGTTCTAAGGCTGGACTGTTCTGTAAAGGTTCTATGACTGGAGTTTTCTTTAAATGTTTTATGACTGGAATATTATGTCAATGTTCTATGGCTCGGATGTTCTGAATAATCTCTAATGCCGAGTGTTCTGTGAGGGTTCTATGAGTGGAGTGTTCTGTAAAGGTTCTATGACTGGAGTTTTCTTTAAATGTTTTATGACTGGAATATTATGTCAATGTTCTATGGCTCGGGTGTTTTGAATAATCTCTAATGCCGAGGGTTCTGTGAGGGTTCTATGAGTGGAGGGTTCTGTAAAGGTTCTATGACTGGAGTTTGCTTTAAATGTTTTATGACTGGAATAGTATGTCAATGTTCTATGGCTCGGATGTTCTGAATAATCTCTAATGCCCGAGTGTTCTGTGAGAGTTCTATGACTGCTAGGTTTGTTAAGGTTTCTATAGAATGAGTGACATTGAGTGTCTTGGAAAGTTTTAAAGTTCCAGGACAGGGACTGGAGTGTTCTGTAAATGTTCTATGGCTGGGGGGTTCTGTAAATGGTCTATGGGTGGAGGGTTCTGTAAATGTTCTATGGCTGGATTGTTCTGTAAATGTTCTATGGTTGGTGTGTTTTGTAAACGTTCTATGGCTGGATATTTTGTTAAGATTCTATGGCTGGAGTGTACGTAAACGTTCTATGGTTGGAGTGTTCTGTAAAGGTTCTATGGCTGGAGTGTTCTGTAAATGTTCTATGGGTGGGGGGGTTTGTAAATGTTCTATGGCTGGGGGGTTTTGTAAATGTTTTATGGGTGGGGGGTTCTGTAAATGTTCTATGGCTGGGGTGTTCTGTAAAGGTTCTATGACTATAGTGTTCTGTAAATGTTCTATGGCTGGAGTGTTTTGTAAATGTTCTCTGGCTGGAGTGTTTTGTTAATGTTCTATGGTTGGTGTGTTTTGTAAACGTTCTATGGCTGGATATTTTGTTAAGGTTCTATGGCTGGAGTGTTCTGTAAAGGTTCTAT